TGTCAATCAGGACAGTTGAACCAGGGATGTTTTAAGTCTCTTTTAGGGGCTCCAAGGGTTCTGTGGCCGTGAGTTATTTCCATCTCTCTCTGTCCCACCAGACCGTGGGCATCCTAGGAAAGGGTGGGACAGTCTGCGGTACCTACGTACCCACAGGTTCTCCCAAACCCAGCCTAGCAGCTGATTGGAAAATGGACTTAAACATCATATTTTCCCTATGAAAAGAGAAGCTCGTTGAGGGATGAGAACGATCTCTTTTGTCTTTTTTTTCGTAGTGTTTATGAAGCAGACAATGATCACCAAAGCTTTTGTTGGTTTTGACCTGAGTTCCCATCTCCCTCCTTCTGTTTCTTTGGAGACCTTCTCCTCCCTCCATGCAGCCCTGGTAGAGCCACCATCATGTGCTCCCAGCCAGGGGAGGGCACAGAGCTAATCCAGCCAATCAGAGTATCCTCATTACTCTGGCCACAGTGATTGGTTCAGGAATGGACATGTGACCCAAGCAAGGCCAATCAGGGTCTTGCCTGGAATTACTATTTTGATGTCAGGAAAAAGATGTTGTCTTTGTATTAGGATTGCTGAGCTGAGATCATGTAGGCCTGGAGGCCCTCCTCTCTGGTCATAGGGAAGAAGCCATTAGAAGGATTATGACAGAGCTCTAGCACCACTTCTTACTTATAAGACCTTTAAAGTTCCTTTTTTACTTAAGTGAGGTTGAGTTGAGCTTCTGTCACTTGCGATCAAGAGACTTTGATTGGGAAGGCCAGTTTCATGCAGGGGAGGCTGTGGCTTATGCTACTGTGCCCTCTAGTCTCCCTGTCCTGGGTCACTGTTTGCCCCCAGCATTTGCAATAATCTCTGTGCCACCTCTGTTCTTGTCATCAGAGAAGAGGAGTGCCACTCTTTTCCAACTTAGTCTTCTGTAGGGCTGTGTCCTCTGAGAAACAGACGCCAGAGTTATGAGTGCACGAGAGTCGTGGGGGGGATGGCTGTGAAGAATGAAGGGGAGCGGGGGCAGGAAGACCAAGGGGGGGCCTTCGGACCATGATGCAGGTCTGGCAGTGGTGAAAGGAGAGGGGGAAGGAAGAAGGATTGGGTGGAAAGGACTTCAGACTGTGGTGCAGCTCTGAGAAGGTCTTGGCCAGCCCAGTGGGGAGCTCTGGCACAAAGATTATTTACAGAAGAGCCCCACATTAGGCAGAAATGGTGAGTCCTTATTCACAGTGTGCTCAGCTGGGAGCTGACCAGGAAACACGTGGCCTAAGCTCAAAGCTGAAGCAGACACCAAAGGCGTCCATGGCTCACGCCTCTCTCTCTGAGACCCAAGGGCCACACTCCATGGCTGACGCACTGCCTCAGGACCTAAGCATCAGCATAAGGGTCCATAGCAGGTTTTAAGGCAAGACTCAAACCCAGGCCTCTGCCTCTGGAGTCTTGGTCCTCTTCGATACCAGTCTGCCTTGTATGTTACAGATCTCAGACGGTGAACAAGCACGTCTGCGTGCCAGCTTGTGTTGACTGGTAGCAGCTGCCTGTGCTCTGAGTTGAAGAAGATTCTGAGGCTGCTTCTAGGTTCAGCAGAAAGTTCCACGATCAGTGGATTATGGATCACTGATGTCTGTCATGGCTGGGGGGTGGTGGTGAGTTGATGCATATGTGCCAACTATTTGGCATCCTTATAGTAGGAGCAAATAAATATTTACTGAATGAATGAGTTTCTAATCCCATGAAATTCTGCTAAAATTAACTTCCTTCTCAAGTGAGCCTATCTCCTTGTGAGGTGTTCTGGCACCTGGGCCTGGGAATCTCAAAATCATAGGCCTAGCTGTCATTTGCTAAGGACCTATTACATGCCAGGCACCGTGTTAAGACCTTCCCATGTATTATGATTCTTATCCATGATTCTTATAATAGCCTCACGAGGAGGAATTATAACCCCCATTTTATGGCGAAGAAACTATGGGCCCAAAGAGATGAAGGATCTACCCGAGCCTACACAGCAACTCAGTACCAGAGCCCATTTCCACGTCACTTTCCCATTCCCTGCACTTCACTCTACGTGTAAGGCCAGTGATGGATTTTGTAATTTCTCAAAATCTAGTGTTGCAATTGGAGCATGATTCAGTTATTCATTTGCCAAAGAGAGAGGAAGTGAACACTTGAACAGGCCTTGGAAAATCCTCTGGAAAGTCCCTGAGAGATGAACCAAGTCCAGTCCAACAGCCGAGCCTGTATATTTGGAAGGTGAATTCACAACTGTCAGCCCCTCACACAGACAACGCTATTTTATGCGTTGCATGTTAATTCTATGTAGCAGGCACAGTGCAAAACACTTTACATTCATTAACTTATTTAATTTCCACCATAGTACTATGAAGTAGTATGATTCTCTCTGTTTTACAAAGAATGAATCTGAGGCTCAGAAAGGTGACCCTCTTTGGGGCCACACATAGTATGGGATCAAACCCACATAGGAGTGTGTGTGTGCGTGTGTGTGTGTGTGTGTGTCTGTGTACATTGTCAGTTGCAAGTGCAATTGTAAGTAAAGAGTAGTTTTGGAAGAACATGCATGGTATTAAGGGTTGTGAAGAACGTTGAGAGGCCCAAGGGGTGGACTGTAATAGCACTTGTTTGTAGGCCATTTCCTATCCATTCCCTCTTTTTTGTATGCAGTCTAATTTCTTTTTGGGTGACCACATATTCCTGATATGTGTAGTCCTAGTGGGGCCCTAGGCACATGGCCCAACCAGAATTTCTTTTAAGGCTTCGAGGCTAGCAAGGAGCAACACAAGGCAGGAAGAATGGTTGGAATTCATTCAGGTAACATAGCAAGGTGGTTAGTAACAGTTTCTAGAATGGGATAGCCATGCCCATTCCAAATTCGGGAATCTACAGAGTACTAGCTATCTGACACTGTGCAAGTTACATAACCTCTCTGTGCCTCAGTTTCTCATCTATAAAATAAGGACAATAATAGAATCTACCTCATAACTATTACACACTTAGAAAGTTCTACTTTGGTGTGTTTGTTTGCCTTGATGTAATCCCATTAATCTTCAAGGGGCTCTAATTCATTTCTGCTAATGAGACCCCTGGACCATCCTGCTTGTTGCTGTGCCTTCCAGAGGATGCCCCAACCTTCTCACGGATTCTGTGAGCACCTGACCCCCCGCCAATCCATTCCTTCTCTGCCTAACTAACTCAGAGCCAGCTTCTGTTGCTCACAATCCCAAAACACTGGCAGTCATGTCAGTCTGTCTCGCTGCAACCTGAGACTCTAAAGCCTCCAGACTACAATCCCCCAACTCCCAGTGGAATTGCACCCTACATCAATAAGTCTGTTCTCCCCTAAATTCACATCTGGGGTAGTGATAGCAAAGCCTTCCGTACCATCTCCTGCACGGTGGAGAGGGGTTATTTGGTTGCCTAATAAACCCCATCTCGGGCATCCTCTGGGCTGTGTGACGTAGTGAAATTATGGGGAGGGGTGTGTTATTAGTCCCAAATTAATGATGAGCAAATGAAGGTTCAGGGATGTGAAGGAAGTTGTCAAAATTTACACAGCAAGATGGGATGGCTCTTAGGTCAGTTTCCCTCTGCTAAAAGACGGGTTAACCTACATGGGGTGGGAGATGGCTGTGGTTAAGGCCTACGCTTTGAACTCAAACCCTTACCACTACTCTTGTCCTTTCTCAGCTCTTCACTTACGCCCAATGTCTTTATGTTGCTGTTTTTTGTTTGTTTGTTTGTTTGTGGTTTTGTTTTTAAAAAGAAACAGGGTTTTGCTCTGTCGCTCAGGCTGGGCTGCAGTGTTGTGATCATAGCTCACTGTAGTCTCAGACTCCTGGGTTCAAGTGATGTTCCCACCTTTCAGCGTCCCAGTAGCTGGAACTACAGGTGCACGCCACCACGCTTGGCTAATTTTTAAATGATCTTTTGTAGAGACAGGGCCTGGCTGTGGTGCCCAGGCTGGCTTTGAACTCCTGGCCTCAAATGAGTCATCCAAGCAGGAATAAACCTTAGTCATTGTCTTCATCTGTTTGGGCTGCTGTAACAACACACTTTACACTGGGTGGCTTTAAATGACAGAAATTCATTCCTCGCAGTTCTGGAGGCCAAGAAGTCCAACATCAATGGGCCGGCAGGTGGAGCGTCTGGTGAGGGCCCGCTCTCTGGCTTGTAGATGACGGGGACTTCTTGCTGTGTCCTCATGTCGTGGCAAGGGCGAGGCAGCTCCGGGGGCCTCTTTATAAGGGCACTGATCCCCAATCCCATTCATGGGGGCTCTGTCCTCATGACCTAATCACTCCCGAATAACTGACCTCCTGATACCATCACCCTGGGGTTAGGTCTCAACATATGAATTGCGGGTGGGGGACACACATTCAGACCATAGTGGTCTAGTTTCTCAATCTTCCTCCAAAGCTGAGGCCCAGCGGGGAATAATGGCTCGGCCAAGGTCGCACAGCCGGTCACCCTCTGAGGGACCAGACCGGAACTGCAGACAGCCACCATCGAAAGCCCTGAACTGGGGCTCGTGGTGGCCTAAGGGGGCAGAATTCATAGGGGAAGGGCTTTGGGACAGATGCCTCCTCCTTGCCACCAAACCTAAGGGGCAGGTACTGTCATCATCATGATCCCTATTTTACAGATGAGGAAACTGAGACTTAAGAGTCTGTGACTTGCTGGGAAGTGGAGGAGGAGACTCGAACCGGCTCTGACTCCGCGGTGTGTGGGCGCTGCACCCGCAGCTGGGACTCGGGCCTGCATCCGCGGGTGCGCACGGCGTGGCTGCAGGCCGCGGGGCTGCGGGAGCGGCGGGAGCGCGTGGGAAGAGGTGGGGGGACAGCTCGCCCCCGCCACAGGCACAAAGGGGCCGCCGTCCCGCCCCGCCAGCGGGATCCAGGCCTCGCTCCGCCCCTGCGGCCGCCCCCCGGCTGGAGGCCCGACCCGCGGCCGGTCTCTCCCTCAGTCTCTCGCTGTCTCCGGCCTCGGTCTCCGCCCGTCCCTCCGTCCCTCGTGCACCCTCTCCTCTCTGTCCCGTCCCGCCTCCGCTCGCTCCAGGGCTAGGCGGGGCTGGGGGGCTGCCCCCGACAGACCGACCCGCGGACCGCGGACCCGCGCCCAGGAAAGGAGCAGCCGCCGCCGCTGTAGCCCGTCACCATGGTAACGCCTGCCAAGGCTTGGACCACTTCGCCCTGCCCCTCTCAGCAGGGCAGCGTGCGACCCCCCAGAACAGCCCCGGGCGTCCAGGCAGAACCCGACCTTTTAGCGGAGACCCTCCCAGCAGGGTTGGGGTGGAAGGGGGTGCCGGAGTCCCTCTCGGCCCGGTCCTCTCCGGCCTTGTCACGTGTGGAGCGGACGGAATAGATGGGACAGCCTGTGAACTTGAACACTGTCCCAGCCCGGAGCGCAGACCCGAGCTTGAATCCCGGCTCTGTGGTTTCGCATTTTAGATTTGGGGCTGCCTGTCGGATATGCACATTGTCCTGACATGGGGGTTGGATGGGGCTGGGGGGCTCAAGTCCCCTCCCGGCCCAGCCTGGAAGGGCAGGGCAAAGAGGTTAAGAGCGCGGAGGGGAGAGGTGGGGAGAGCAGGGAATCGTTTGCCGGAACTTGCGATGGTTTTGCTACTTTAGACTCGGCGCTGGGAAGTCAGATGCGCACAATGTCCCGACACAGGGCGCTCCCCTGAGAAAGGGTTCCCTCCTCAGGAAGGGGGGCGAGCAGGGTAGGACCCCCATACCTGGGCTTTCTGGACCGGCATCTTGAGAAGCTTGGGGCGCTCTGGGAGAGTCGCGTGTGTGCACTGGGGTGCATTTGTGCCAGTGTCTGGGAACAGGGAATGAAAGAAAAGTCTGTTTTCAGCCCAGCTCCAGACAGGCCCAGGAGCCCCGGGCGGATTCACAGGAGCTGCGAGGATTGGGGAAAGGGCTTTGAAGACAGGCCAGGGCTTTAACCCCTTGACTGTAACCGACCATGTTGAATTTGTGTGGGTTTTCACTCAAGTGCATGTCTACATGCAGAATAATTCTATGTAAATGTATGTGCATACTCACACACACACACACACGCACACATAAAACACACGGAAACGCACCCACTCACTCACAAGGCTGGACATATGTGCCTTTTCATACACACAAGCCTCGTCCACCTGCTGTCCCATGCTGCTGAAATACAGGCATACACCTGCATACACAGCACAGATATGTTGCCAAAGCAGGCACCTAAATCCATGCACCGGGAGGACAGGTGTACACACACATTGCTCTTGGAGCTGTTTGAAAATCCTCATAAGCTAACAGTTGTCACCTGCAGGCAAGGCCCTGGGCTGGGTGGTTTACACGTGAGAGCTCCTGTAACTCACACCAACTCGAAGAGTAGGTCTGCTGGTATCTCTGCTCAACAGATGGGGGCCAGAGGCTCTGGGAGCTTAAGTGGCTGCCCAAGGTCACCCTACCAGGAGTTAGGACAGCCTGAATTCCGAGCCTGCACTCAGCTGTCATAGCCACCCAGAGCCTGCACCAAGTGATGTTTGCCAGTCCTCTCCCGGGTTTGCACCTTAACCCCCTTATTAGTTGTAGGATCCAGAAACCCATCACTGAACCCCAGACCCTCCAATCAATCAGCGTTTTGAGGGGCTGACCCTCTCAAAAGTTGAACACCTCTTTCCTAATGGGCAGATTTTTCCTTCTTCCTTGTCTTTAAATAGTAAAAGTTATCTGTCACCAGTCCACCTCTCTGGCCTCACTTCTGTGATCCAGCCACTCTGGCCTAGAACCTCTTATGGTTTGTGCTGCCTCAGGGCCTTTGCACATGCTGTTCCAGCTGGGTGAAACACCTTTACCTATGAATTCCTGTTCCTCTAGTAAATCTCCAGCCAAATGTCACCTCCCTGATTTCCCGACTCTCTAGCATGCCATGTATTCTTCCTTCCTGATAATTTTTGTGAAGCAGTGTGATTAATGGCTGTCTAGTGTTTTGGAGCAGCTCTGCCTCAGAGAATCTATGGCTAAGGGGCTTAGGCTTTAGCAAGTCCCACATTTCCCAAACTTTAGTATCACTGGAACAACTTTTACACATCTGCTTACTGGATAAAATATTATAAGAAAATAATAAAATCTACTACTCATTTCCTCAATATTTTTCTTCACATCAACTTGCTTTATACACCTGAAAATATATTTAAGTAGAAATTTGTATGTCATGACCATGAAAAAATCAGTATCTGTTGTCATGAATTGAAAAGTAACCATAAAATATCTATTCAGCGAGGGCAAATCTGGGTTAGTAAATTCTGGCTGGATGGGGGTGACCGTGGACAGTTCCAAACCGGCCGACTGTGTTGCTTTTGTTGAAAGGAGTGATGTCTAAGTGTCTGAGAGGTGCTTGAGATACACTGTCCCCAGACTGAGGCTTTGTCCTTGGTGTCATCAGGCAGACTAGAAGAGAATTAGAGCAACTTTCTTTCTGTGGTTTCCTATAGAGTCCATGTCCTCCCAAAATTGTCTCGTGGGCCACCTGTGACCCCATCCCAATGAACTGGTCTCATCCAGTTTAATTCATTCGACATCACCCAAGTACTGGATGGCGATCGCCCGCCCCAGGCCCCTGTGCGCCAGGCTGTGTGTTAGGATCTGGTCCCTGCCTTGGGGGCTTGCAGTCCCTGGGGGAGGCAGGTCCATTCGCTGGGAGTTCTGGGCTGGCTGATGGGTGGTGGGGCCCAACCCTATGCCTGGAAGGACGTCGTGAAGAGACAAAGAGAAGAGAGCTGGGGCTCGAAGGGCTCTGAAGGATGGGTAGGAGCTCGCCCCTTCCAGGGAGGGGTGTGATGTGAGCAGAGGCACAGAGACGGGTGTCAGGCAGTGCTGCTCATCTTTGTGAGTATTAGGAAGTGATTTAAATAGCACAAACGTATGATAGCAAAAATAAATTTAAGTTGAAAAAGAATGGCAAAAAGACAAATGTGGGGTAAATCATAATTAATTATAAATATGAAGCAAATAAGAAATTGGAATATGCGGACATGGCAAGAGAACCTCGTGCATGGGTCATGGGGAGGGAAAACCCCTTCTAAAGTGTGTTCAGAAGTAGGAAAAGTAACCTGCCAGCCAGCGGATGGGCTGCAGCACCAGCCCAACGAGTTGCCAAGGCAATAGGGAGCCACCTGAGGTTGTTGAGCAGTGGAGGGTCACCGTTGGATCTCTGTGTTAGAAAGGCGACTGTGGGGGCCAAAGGGAAGCCTGGTGTGGGTGGCAGGGCGCCTGGGGAGAAGATGGGACAGCTGGTGGTTACCTGCTCAGGTTCATAGCCCAGCTCTACCAGTAATTTGTGAGCAGTAGAGCCCTGGCTTTAGTTTCTTAACTTGTAAAATGGAAGTAAAAACGCCTCCTCCTTAGAATCATTGGAACGATAAAATAAGATAATGCATCAAAGCGCTCAGACATGTAACCTAACACACAAGACTTGCTCGGCAGGAAGAGCTCTAGTTATCATCGGTGCCACTGTGTGGTTTGGGCGGGACATGATGAGTCCCGGGGCAGAGGCAAAGAGGGGCGGGAAAGACAGGAAAGACACAAAACTCAGTCTCAGAGCGGTGGAGTGACTTGCTGGAGGTCACGCAGATGGCACAGGGCAGAGCTGGACTTGAACGTGGGCTTTCTGACGCCTACCCTCATTTCAGTTCACTGCATCTGGGCTGTTTTTCCAGTTTCTGAAAGGGGTTTTTTTTAATAAGGAGCCAATTCTCGCTCATACCTCCACCCACACAGAAATAAAAAGCAAGAGGTTTTAGTTGGACGTGAATAAGAACTTCCTGGCAGCAACGGAATGCTGCTTTTAGAATCTCTAGTCTGGAGAAGTTCAGGGGGAGGGTCCCAGGTCCTCGAGACTGGAGGTCACAGCCCGCCACCCGCTGGGCTGTATCTGGCTCACAGATGTGTTTGGTTTGGCCAACCTTTAAAACGCTGGGAGATTTTGCTAAGAAGTCAGTAGATCAGGCAGTGCTGGGCCAAAGCAACACTCGGCTGATGCTGATGAGATGGGGTGTGAGCCCCAAGCCTCACTCCTCCCTATTGCTTCCCCCATGCTGAGGCCATCGGGATCCACTCACCCAGGGGCTGAAGGGGTTGCTTCCTTGCACTTGGCCAATTTCTCTCTTCCATGTCACCTGTCAGGCCCTTGAAGACATTCGTATCTGTGACTGCTAGTTTAGACTCTCCCTGGGTCTGAGACACAAAGATGGATGGGACAGATCTTTTTAAACTTGCTCATCAACTGAGGATTATCTGACCCCCTTATTAAACCACATCCGAGCTCCAGACCTTCCTGAACCTAATCATACTTTGAATTCTAGAATGCCCCCATTGGAAGGTGCCTTGGAGATCGATATGCCCAGTACTTTCCTTTTACAGATGGGGAAACTGAGGCCAAGTTCACCCAGCAAGTCAGGGCCAGAATGTCACCTTCCCTAGGCATTTCACCCACAGAAGAGAGCAGGGGTTCAAGGCAGCCCTAGGATCCCACCCATCTTGGCTTCTCACAGGTCCTCTGTCTTCCCAAGCAAGGAGGCAGCTGATGCTAAGTGATGCTAAAAGCTTCGCCTGCTGGAGTAAATAGATAAATCTGGACGTTTAAGAAAAGTTCACTTCACATCTCAGAAGATCCAGCTAGCAACATCTGGTAAGACCATTTAAAAAGGAAACCAGCCTTAAAAACACACACACAGTCACACTTTTATTTTTTTTCCCCTCCTGATTATAAAAACTATACAAGCTGGTTACATTACAGAATGTTTGGAAAATCCAACAAACTATGAAGAAAATTTAAAAGCTGCCTTACGAGGACGCTGCAGCTCACAGCACTCGGGGGGAGACTGTAGTTAACACTTTATTTAATGTCGACTTAGACTTTTTTCTAGGCTTCTACGTGTTTTTCTGCATACTACACAGGTCATCGTGTATGGAAGTTTTTAGAAAAAACAATATTCAGAAGTGTGGGCACTCTCAGGGGGCCTCTTTCTGGGATGGTGGAAATCTTTTGTCTGTTGATCTGGGCAGGTGGTGACAGGCACACTTAGTGGGTACATAGGTAAAAAGGCATCCATCCACCTGTACCCTTTAGGTTTCTTTATTTTACTTAATAAGTATAATTCTTAAGATTAT